TATACGTCACCATAGACTAGACAAGAACTGTCTGCATCTGTTGGGGAAGCTTAGACAAATAATAACTGTCTAAACATGTCCTCATCAAAAGTCCGTTAACTTATGATCTCTCGCATTCGTAGCAACGTTTCTGTCACTGAGCCATGTTGTAGATCGATGTTGTTGGAAAGTTGGTCTAACATTTGTCTGTCGACAAAATATACATCCAAAAATATGGAAACAATATCACAATATGTAAAAAATTAACAATTAAGAAGTAATATATGATGTTTCAACAATCAACAGACTCAGCTTACGAATTGGCGTACCAAATCAGGTCGGTCTCACTACTTGAGATATCACAGTTACTCGGAGTTTGACAACGACTTTACCAATAACACCTTTATATTCGAAATATGCCTACCCAGTCAATTTGGAAGTCGAAAATGAGGGAGCTTGGAGATATATTTGGAATGCTGTCGGTATGTCGAGGAACGTTTGATCTAGGATGACCAATAGTTGAAAGGGATGCGTAGCACGGCGTGCTCACTCATGGTCTGGTACGGATGTGTGACTGAGCACATTCAGCTAGGTGAATCCTGAACTATTGGTCTTGGGGGTTTTCTTCGCTGATACGGACCGATAACATGACGGCAACATATTCCACCGGTCCCATAATTTTGTGACAAATCTACAAAACAACCTCTGCAAAGTATCAGATCAGGTGCGTGTTTTAAAAAGGCAGTGATTTTGTACTTCTTGTGATTATCCTTGCTTTTGTGCAATAGTTGCATCAAAAGCATTCTTGGTCTATATTAAAGTACTTTAGTTAAGGTTTGAGATCTTGCTAAAGTTCGAGGCCTAACTCACATTGGCTTTGCATGTTTTGCTGTGAAATAAGACGTTACTAATACAGGAGGCTATGAGCCTATTGGCTTTGACCTGTAAAAAGAACGATGGTGGTTGCGCTGATAACGCGAGCACCGACAGTGACGAACGTGTCAGTGTAGTACCTGCTATTACGAGACGCCCCAAACGCCCGACTTTTATTGACGGAAAAGTGAAGTCTCCGTTAACATTAACGAGGGGGAAAGTACCACCTGACATTGACATAGGTAACCATACACCTGTAATGGAAACTGAAGATTTGGATAAAACCGTCACCGTTCCAAATAGTCCCGGTGTCCTGAGGGATGAAAAATGGACCACAGTGCGGAAAAAACGAAGCGAAAAGAAAAAAGCTCTGAGCAGTGCGCAGGTGGTTAGCAAGTCATTGGTGGACTCCCATTGTAAGTCACAAAATGCACTATAAAAATCTGATAGCAAGAGAGAAACCCACCCTGGCGTGACTGAGAAGGAGAATCTAATATCATCGAACATTATTGTGAGTAAATTGCTGGAGTCAAACGACCCTGATCCCAAAATTAGACATGCGCATGATTTAGAAAGCTGGGAGAATATATTCGTAGTATCTTACCAGACAGCTCCAAAGGAGTTCAGGTCAAAAAGCTGGTTAGAATATTCAAGAGGACCGAGGACAATGTTGAACCTCGACCATGCAGACTCCTTAAGGTAATCCTAGGATCGGAGAAGCAACGGAATCTCCTGTAAAGTAACACTCGTTGTCACGACAATTCCGACATCTGAGTTAGATCTGATAGGTCTCTCGAAGATAGAATAAAAAGGAAGAAAGCACTAGCTGAACTAGAAACCCTTCGACAAAACGGTGAGGAAAATCTCCTGTTAGTGGGTTTTCGGATAGTCAGGTCTTGAAAGCGAACGCTACCAAGGCCTGTGTGGATAGGCCGTTCTACCTAGGAGTTTTAAATGCCAACGCTCGTAGTATAAGAAATAAGTTCTACGAACTAGATGCATTAGTGGACAGATTAAGTCCACTAGTTGTAGCAGTGACAGAAACTTGGTTAGTCCATAACTTAGATATTACTCCAGAATTATCCGGATACCATTACCTAAGGAGTGATAGACATAGATCTAGAAAAGAAGATGGCGTCCTGTTATATCTAGCCACTAATACAAATATCCGCTCCTCTGCTAGCGAGTCCCATGATAGCGGTAGTTGTGAAGTCGTTAGTCGTAAATTGGCTATCGGATATAGCACATTTATGTTCGGTGTCATCTATCGCAGCCCAATCTGCTTAGCTGATGACTTCATTTCAGAGCACATTCATCTTTGGAGTGCAAATACCAGATGCTTGATATTAGGAGACTTTAATGCACCTGGTATTAGTTGGACTGAGATGACTACGGAAGGATCTATAAGCCCCTTTGATAGTAGATTCCTGATAACAATAATGGAGCACGCATTAGTGCAGCACGTATCCGAACCCATATGTTTTGGTGCTAACCAAGGTTCTTCTCTGTTGGACTTGGTAATCACTGATGAGACTGAGGATATTGTCGACCTAAATATTCTTCCACCGTTAGTGAACAGCGATCATGCTGTTTTGCCATTCACGTTCAGAACTAGGGACATGTTATACTATCAGGTTACACCCCGCACAAATGTATGGAAAGATAACATATCAGCCATTCAGGAATGCGTTGCTAAGACAGACTGGTTTGTGGATACTAGTTTATCAGTTGAAGAAGCATGGTCTGTATTTAAAGGTAAGTTTAGTTCAGTTACGTCCTCGTTCATACCATACCTGGTACTGCGAAGACGGAATAACAGTCCACCATGGATAGCGAAACCAGTAAGTAAACTTCTTAGAAGAAGGAAGAATCACTAGAATATGTTCACCTTTGTTGGCTTAGAACAATACAGATCCAGTTATTGTAAGATCAGGAATGCCTGTAAGGCTTTATTAAGTAAGACTAGACGACCATATGAAAAGCAATTGGTTAGGGATTCTAGATATAGTCCGAAACGGTTATTCTCGTATATAAAAAGGCGAACTCAGAGAAGCGATGGAATTCCATCACTTTTGATACAAGAAAATCCGTTAATCTTGGCAGAAAATGACACCGAAAAAGCCGAAACTTTATCGGAATATTTCAGCAAAGTGTTTTCTATCAGTAATGAGGAACGACCAACGATTCATAGTGATTGTGGCGGCTCGCTGATGAACCCCGTAGTCATCGAGAAAATTACTGTCTTAAGGCAACTTCAGCATGTCAAACCTGATAAGCCCAGTGGTCCTGATAATATTCATCCTAGGATTATGAAAGCCATATCAGATGCCTTTGCTGAACCATTAGCGATATTGTTTGACAAATCTCTGAGGCAGTCCAGGCTGCCCACAGACTGGAAAGACACTATAATAAGTCCGGTGGATAAGACTGGGAGTAAGCATTTAGTTAGTAACTATAGACCCGTCAGCTTAGCTCGTGCAGTTGTAAAAACAGATGGAAAAAATAATTCGGATATCAGTTATAAACTATGTTGAAGGGCATAATCTTTTCTCCAGGGAACAACATGGTTTTCGGAGAGATCTATCATGCTTGGCAAACTTTCTCATTGCAAGAGAAGATTGGGTTGCTGCAAAAGATCGGAATATTCTTGTGAATGTGATCTTCATAGATCTAAGTAAGACCTTTGATAAGGTTCTCCATTCTGGTCTTAAATTCAAACTGGAACGTTTTGGAATCCATCATACAGTCGTAGATTGGATAAGTACCTGCAAAAAGTGGAGTTCCTCAAGGTGTAATCCTCGGTCCTCTCCTATTTTTACTTTATGTAAATGAATTACCAACTGTAGCAAAGTCACCCGTTCTACTATTCACTGATGACATAAAAATTTGGGTACCCATGCACAGTATGTCGGATAGAATAGTATTACAGGATGATCTTAGCTCATTGGTGGCATGGTTGGACAGTTGGTCACTAGAAGAAATCCTAAAAAGAGCGTGGTGATGCAATTAAGTAACTATGATGAATATTAACATTATACAATATGCGGATTCGTGCTAACTAAAGTAAGAAACCATAAAGATTTAGGAGTCATAGTAAGCAGTGAACTCAAAACTACCAGTTACTGTGAGGCTGCTGCTGCGAAAGGCTGTACGGTATCATGGTCTATTTGTAGGTCTTTCCAGTATTTAGACGACGAAATGTTTAGATTATTATACCCGATTTACGTGCGACCATACTAAGAATATGGGATTCAAGCAGCGAGTCCTTGTTTCAAGTATGAAGCAGATATGCCTGAAAGAGTTCAACGTCGAGGTGCTAAGATGGTACAAGGTCTATTTGACCCATCTTATGAAGACAGACTGAGACATCTTAAGTTAGTTCCGTTATGTCACCATAGAATACGGGGTGATCTAATATTGGCTTATCGTATACTGGACGATGACCTTGGTACTAACATGTCTTATCTTTTACTTCCGTCTAGGACTGATCATTCGGAACGAGATTGGACCTCCACAGTATTATAAACTGCAAGGACTAATATAGGTTGATAGACCTCCTGTCCTTATTACTGAAGACTGAAATATACGTTAGATTGAAATGGACCATATCAACAAAGTGGCTAGACTAGCCCCAGTAAATGTTAACATATATATCAAAAAGCAACTCACGAATTTAAAACCAGATTTCGGAAGAATTATTCGGTCTAAACTAACACATCAAGATGATCATTTGATCTTGAAACTCACATGTCATACACAAATTAAAGTTTTTACTAACCTTATTCGTGTTTGTAATATTCAAGAGTTTTAATACAGAATGATATGTTCCCATTTATTATGAACTCAATCGACGAGATTTTAACAAATATATAGTTTTTGTCTTAGTGCATTACATTAATTCACCCCTAATCACTATGGCACAATTCGTTCGAACTTAGATGCAAGTTCCATCTTTGTAAATGAAAGTATACAGTTAGTTACGTACGAGAATCTCACGCTGTCAAATATATTGGACTCACAAAAATTAGTGTCTTATTAGCTAGACTGTTTTCTTTAGGCACTGATAAAGGCCTGAAATTGCATCTTAACATTAGTGCGTTTTGAGGATATTGTTTATTGAAAGTTGATGGTATACGTATAGTTTCCGAATGGAGACGAAACTTTTAGGTAACTTGGCAAGAGTGTGAGTCCTTGCCCTTTCGTCGTTTATATAATTTGGGTAATTCCTATAGGCTGTAAGACGTACTTTTCATGTCTCAGAAGTGGCAATATGTGAGTTGTACTAGCTGGAATGACAATAAATTCTTGGATGAGTTCAACATCATGTATACATGATTACTGATTGAATATAAAATGAAACTAACTTCTATATACTGACTTTATAACGTAGTCATGCACATCTTTAGACATTGCCTTTACCCAATCATCTATTTTGGGGGAACTTTTGTCCGGTTTGGGTAAATTCGGGGAAATGGTACAAAAACCCCAGGGTTTGCCCAAAACTTTGGGATTTTCCCCCAATATTTCCACAGAAACTTATAACACTAAGGTTTTTCACATGACATTTTAATATTCAAAGTAATGAAATTCTCTCCACCTTCACCTAGTGATATATTGAGTATCGTAGTCAATGAGGCAGCAATATATTGTGCGATTGGTCTCAAGATTTTAGGGTGTAGTTCATCCGGTCCTGTTGGATTAGTTTATTGCAGCTTACATGATTTCTAATGATTTTAAAAATATTTTCAGTAATTTTACTGAGGCTCCAGATTTCTTCAGCATAAGTGTTGGTGTTCACAATACATTTGATAAGTTCTTTGAATAGTTTTCTTGATCCTGTTTCATGTATTGGAGTGACAAATGCATCCTTCCAATTCGTAGGTAACTCACCTTGATCTAAGGATATATTGAGTATCGTAGTCAATGAGACAGCAATATATTGTGCGATTTGTCTCAAGATTTTAGGGTTTAGTTCATCCCGTCCTGTTGGATTTTCTGTGCCCTAAGTGCTAAGGGCCGTCGTGACCAAAGTCCACAGTAAGCAGACAATTTTTTGACTTTGTACTTGGGTCTAGTTTTTCGTTCAGGAGAGGCTCCTGAGAGGATGCTGTCCCAAAATAGTCTGTTATAGCCTCTATCTTTTCCTAATCATACTCTATCTGTTGAGGTCTACGTCCTTCCGTAATTAGGCTAGGAATCCTATGCTGCGTCCTTATTCCGTAGTATTTTATGTACGAGAATAGTCTCTTAGGCTGCTTGGGCCAACCGTTTTTCATAGTTTTGCTGAGATTCCATAACCATATATTTACTTCGTACCAACATGTAGCGTTCCATCGTACTTGTTATGCCAAGACTGGTTGAGATGTTCCAAGTCAAATGCTCGAGGTGTGACCCCCTAATAAAACTACCTACTTCGGTCTGGGCGTCCAGGCAGTATTACAGCCCTCACACTAATAATAACTGCCACTGACCTCATTAATATTCTATGGCGCATATGTATTCGGTGCCTACTTGTATCAACGTTTATGTGTTCCACATATAAACCCTGACCGTTGTTGCTACCTTGACGTGGTGGTCGGGCTTGCCTATCGTGATGAAGCAACTGAGCTATACTGGCTGGAACAACCGTTCCTCAAGGTCCTACCATGCCAGACAGGTCGGTTGAAGAGCGGTAAGACTAAAAGCAACAAAACCAAGGTCCGAAGGCGAAGTCGTACTGCTGATTGTACAGAGGTGTGACAGCAGTAAGGTGTTTCCTTCAGACAACCAGCATAACAGCGATGCTGCCTTCCCAAAAGGAGGGGAGGGGTTAGTAAAGGTCGACCCTAAAAATGCACATCTCGCCTTATCCCACGGATATCCGTCTCCGACGGTAAGGTCTCAACAAGTACGGAGCTAACACTAAAACTACCCATAAAAAAGGTCGTGTGTGACCGACCTCAAGCAGCTGTCCCTTGGGCACTTCGGTCACGCTCTCAAGTCACTATGACTACCTCTAATCCAATTTCCTTTTCAGGTACCTCCAGAAGAACCCTTCCACGGTGTGGGCGACCGGGAAGTGATAACCGCCCTCATACCTCTAACAGCACTCAAGACCACTGTATTCATAGTCAACCTACCTCTTCAATTCCTATTATTCCTCTTACATCGACTTTCAAATCTAAACTCCCTCTTTCGGCTTCCTCCTCAAGTGTCACCACAGCCAACGATTCTAGTGCGCAAAACACTGTCCCAGGTCTACTGAAACCTCGTTCCAAACTACACATTGGAGCCTTCAACGTACACACACTATGCCAAATCGGTCAGCAGGCTTCCTTGGCTAAAACCTTAGAATCTCGTACGATTGATGTATGCTGTGTCTCCGAAACACGCATACAGGATCCTAGTGTGGTCATTCACTTGACTATCGTAACCAATGGTTGGAGACTCTTGGTGACATGGCTCAGAATCGATCACAATGACGTCGGTGTATACACTCTCTGTCTTCCTTTAAACTAAGAGATTAAAATCACTTCAAATCTTACTTTCTACGAACTAATTCTATCTTCCTGTACTATCTCCTTATACACACTCTTTCTTCTATATATTACCACCACTGAATTAACTACTTCTATGAATCCGGTGTTCATCTTGTTGTGCTAATGCGGTATGGCAACTTGGACCGATGCATATACGTGCCTGGTCCTACGTTGTAGCTGACTGACTGACTGACCACTTATAAACCTCTAATAGTATAATCCTTTTTCATCTTTCCATGTTACTGCTTCATATAACCCCAAACTATAAATCCCTAAAGTACGAGTGTTTTAACCTCACTCGCTATCTTTTCACTGTTCGTGCCTCAAGGCCAGTGATCCATTGCTACTGGATCCGAAAGCTCGTTAAGTGAAGGTTTCTGTTTCATCCACAAACATTTCAACCCAGTAAAAATGCAGCGAGTTATCTAGAACTGCACTATCGTCACGTCCAAAGAAGACAATTATTAGTCCCAATGAAAAACTTGAGGTCATTAGTGCTGATTTAAACTATGCAATTCACCTCACAGAAAACACGGTTACTCATGAAATCAACTTTTTAACTTATTTTTTCGAATATTTTCCATGCTTCCAGTTGCCCGTTGAATGTTAAACAGGATGGCATTTCTTGATCCCTACTTGTTAACTTTACCACCTTATATAATTAAATATAATTTAGTTAAATGCACTTGAGATTAAAGAACTTCCTGATGCTTATATATATATATATATATATATATATATATATATATATATATATATATATATATTGGTCATCTTTATATGTTTTCGCACAGGTCATCCAACCCGAAAATAACAGCAGTCCAATGTATTGATTCGGATGGCCTTTGTATTGCCTCTCACGGGACTGGAAATGATCAAACCACAGGAGTTCTCAGTAGCATATACAAACATGCAGCAGGTATTGAAGAAAGCTCCGAATCGCCAGTGTTAGTAATTGAGTTTGAGTCAAAGTAGGTGGTCCTTATACATATATTGTGTTGTTTCATACCGATAGATCAAGTATTTTGTGTGAAGCGTATGGTGTTTTAACTGTTGTTCACAAGAATCAGTGACACCGCACCAACAGTCACACGGTGTCGACTGCCTTCAGGTTTCAGAGTCCTTCGAAATAACACTGATACCTCGAAATATAAAGCTACTCAACAAAACCCCAGCTATCATCATTGTATAAATTTCTTAAACATGATCATTTACTCATTTTGTCCAAGTTTATTAAAAATATATCCTACACTGTTAATTTTCTATTTTTGAATGGAGACTGTCATAAACTCGTAGAATCAAATAGTTCTTAAGAATGTACAAACAAAATTTTGACAAATTGACCTCTCGGAATCGATTATATGTAACGGTTTTGAGCATTGAACTGCTGTTACTCTTAAATCATCATATTTGAGAAATGCAGTTTAAACAAACATTGGAAAATTATTTAATTCCACCTCAAACGTCTACGTAATGGGATAATGGAGACTGAATTTTATAATTACGATGTAAACATGCGACAGCTGTAAAGGTAGAATAAAATCTTATTGAATTGCCTTGGCTAAAATATAGCATTTTGCTTGGTTACAACTTAATGCTTTGTATATGCTATGTAAGTTTCCCCACCCATTTTCTGAACAAAAACTTTACCATAACCATTACTGTTCACAGGATGAAGAAGTTAAGATAATCGAACTAGGATTTTAAAGAAAATTAAGTGTTGCTTCAATTTCTTCCAGGCTAAACCACTCACTATTGCCGTTCACTCATTTCTGGTTATTTACTAATCTTAACCAATGAGTATTAACTTTTACACATCTCAGCTTACCATCCAATTCATTATTGCATTGATCTCGTCTGTTGATTGATCTTAAGATGTACAATTAGTTCTCGATGTGATTTTCCGAGTGAAATCATATACGTTTGGAGGATGCATCGTAAATGATTGATTTTTATAGATTCTTCCTCTCAGTCTATTTCGTCTCACACAGTATATAATGTCACCTACAAGTCCCATATATGGAGATTCACTAAGTCCCTAAATTTTAGGTTCAAACCCTCTCGACCTGCCTTCATTTTTTATTACTTGAATCACTCGGGTGTAACCGATAAAATTACTTGCACTTTACAGTAGTATATTCAGGAACTGGTCACATCTTCCTTTCCAGTCAAACATAGCGTGTCATTAACGAAATCCTAAACAATGGAAGAAAGTAGTCATAAATTATTTATTATTTATTTTGACACATAGGTATTGGTACACGGAGGCACCAAATACATATGCGCCACACAGATCTCATTTGATATGTGTGAGGGCTGTGATACTGTCCGGGTGCCCAAACCGAAGCAGGTGGTTTTCTTAGGGGGCCACACCCCGAGCCTTCGACCTAAAGGTCTAACCCACAAGGCAGTGGAGCATCGTGAGGAGATGCAGTCCCATGGTAGCCGGTGACCAACAATTGGTTCATACGCCATTTGTTCCTTCAGGATACTGGAGCCCATGTGCACCATTCGTTTGAGATCTGGTTAAAGCGCCGGACATTCGTTTTTCGTCCTCTCATTTTCGTAAACAACACCCCCGCCACGAGAAGGCAGTGAGTAGGACTTCCCTGGCAGAGGCTATATACGCGTGGCCATGTGAGAGCATTTCGAGAGGGAGAGCGGACTCTCCCCACTCTCGGCCGTACCAGTGTGGTGTGTGCTACTTATGTAGACATAAGTAGTATATGACGTGAGCACTGAACAGAATGTCTGGCGGCAGAGAGATAAGAAGATCGAACAATAAAGAATGAAGACAGAAGGCAATTTGTATGAAAATGCAAGAACAAGGGGATTCTGAGTGATTTGAGATAATTGATGAACAATTTGCAAATTACCGATTCAATATATGGTCGTTTGATTTTACTAACTAGTTCTGTAAATTGTTGTTAAATAGATTGGATTGTCCCCACTGGTGTTTTATTTCACTACACCAGGGCATAAATAACTTTTAATTTATGGTTATTCCAACAGTTTCGGCGTCATCTACTTTCAATTTGAATTCGGCTACTTACTAAACTTCATTAAAGTCCATACCTGTATTATAATTTATATTAAATCAGTACTGTATAGGTGAAAACTGTTCTAGTTAGGCGTTAATATATTTTCATTAGCACGAAAATCTACAATCTTACGTTTACTTTTGTCACTCTTCATCATTTAAAGACCTTTAGTTACTAAGGTTATTTGAATTCACTTTAACCTAATGAATCTAGGCCTAAATGTTAGATAACTGGAAGACGTTACTATAGTTTTGAAAGTGCTCACTATTGTTCACCATATAGTAAAGAAAAATATTTGTATCCCAATAGATTGCTGAAAACCATGTGGTTGTTGTGATCGGCTTGCATATGACCCACATATTTATTGACCTGTTTTAAGAGACCTTCCATAGATTGCGGAAAAGGAGTTCTTTTACGTAGAATTTTTTTGGTTGGGCAATTCGATTGCTTCTTTTGCGTACTGTTTAGCAATTCTGCACTGAGGAATTTTATCTGCTCTCCTTTCCTGGCCTTTTAACTTTGAAGCAGTAGTAGAACTAACCTTTTTTTAAAATTTCTTGCCTGCACATGAAAATGAGGGGAATTTGGAATCGTATGTAATTTTCCGCTCTTCAATTCCATAGTTAGCAAGTTATCAAGCATAACATTGGAACCATTTCTAATGGTCGATAAGGAAAGCTGACCCTGAAGTATTGTTAAATTTTCTAAACCTAATAGAGACGGTCCACGCTCAGTGATGAGAAGTTTACAATTGATGATTTATCATCCCTGATTAACAAATTACGACATCCAAGAATAAAAAATTCGTGACGATTAATATTCGAAATGGAAACTTTGGTAGGTTTAATTATAACGTGGGAATTTTAATGACTTCAACTTGATACTGCCAGTTTCAACAATAAAATCGTGAAAAGCACCACTGGGTAGACATAATCTTTTCTGAATATGAAGTGAATTACTGGAAGTTGTAAATAAGGATAATATACGATCATTAGAATCAACCGAATTAGTAAGATCTGAATGACGAAGTTTAGTATGTCCTGAGGCGAAATGCACAGTAGTTATTTTTGGAAATGATTAGATGTGTCCAATTTTACCACGTTTAAAGCATTTAGCGTCGCGAAATACATAAATTACGTGAATGAAATTTGCCACAGGACAAACATTTACCAAATTTGTGCTCATTTTTGTGACCTGCTTTGAAATTCCTCAATGAATTGTTATCTGCATGACCTTTAAGTATTCATTGGATTGGGGTAATTAAGTGATGTCAGTCAGTCAGCTGCAACGTAGGACCAGGCACGTATATGCATCGGTCCAAGTTGCCATACCGCATTAGCACAACAAGATGAACACCGGATTCATAGAAGTAGTTAATTCAGTGGTGGTAATATATAGAAGAAAGAGTGTGTATAAGGAGATAGTACAGGAAGATAGAATTAGTTCGTAGAAAGTAAGATTTGAAGTGATTTTAATCTCTTAGTTTAAAGGAAGACAGAGAGTGTATACACCGACGTCATTGTGATCGATTCTGAGCCATGTCACCAAGAGTCTCCAACCATTGGTTACGATAGTCACGCGGACCCCAACCAGGCAGTCTGAATCTTCCAACATGGCTCAGACCAGAAGTTAGTGACTTCAAGCACTGATGCCACGTTTTGGTTTGGCCGCCCCTAACTTTCTTGGAGTCATCCCTAACACCGGTTAGCATTGCGCGTCGTGGTAATCGGTGTTCAGGCATACGCAGAACGTGGCCTAACCATCTCAGTCGATGAAGATTCATAACCTCATCAACTGATTTACCATCATTCCCTAATACCCTGCGTCTAACCTCACTATTACTTACCCGGTGATCCCAGCAGATACCCGCAATATTTCTAAGGCACCTGTGGTCAAATACTATTAACTTACGAATATCTTCTACTCTCAAAGGCCATGTTTCGCAGCCGTATAGTAGAACAGAACGAACTGCCACGCAGTATACTCGTCCCTTAGTTGATAGACGGATATCTCGCCTTCGCCATAGATGACGTAAGTTGGCAAAGGCCAAACGAGCTTTTCGAATCCGTGCTGAGATTTCGTCAGACACCAACCCATTAGGGCTGATCAGACTTGCAAGATAAGTGAAGTTGTCGACGCGTTCGACTACTTCACTCCCTATCTTTAGTTCAGGTGTTGACGCAGACCAGTTCTGAAGCAACAACTTGCATTTGGAGGGAGAGAAGCGCATCCCAAACATTCTAGCATTGTTGCTCAGTGCTACCAAAAGACTCTGCATTTCATCAGCGTCTTCACCAAACAGGACTATGTCATCTGCGTATTCTAAGTCAATAAGTGGACCTCCTGGTTGGAGATCAATACCTGAGAATTCAGTCGATGAGAGCGTTATTTCCATCAGGATGTCTATGATAAAGTTAAACAAAAAAGGAGAAAGTGGACAGCCTTGGCGGACCCCACTTGAGGTTGCAAAAGCAGATGACAGTTCTCCATAGGCTCTGACCCGACTAGTAGTGTTCGAGTAAAGAGCCTTCACAAGGTTTATGTACTTCTGAGGTACGCCTTTCAATGACAGACACTGCCACAGAACCTCTCTGTCAACAGAGTCAAACGCTGCTTTTAAGTCAAGGAAGACCACTATTGTCGGACGCCGATAAGTATGCCTGTGTTCTAGAACCTGACGAATGGTGAATATGTGGTCGATGCAGCCACGACCAGGTCTGAAACCAGCCTGATTTTCACGTGTTTGCAGCTCACGAGTCTTAGTTAGGCGTCCGAAAATTATCGAAGCTAGTATTTTAGATACTATATTAGTTAAACTAATCCCTCTGTGGTTGTCACAGGATGATTTTGACCCTTTCTTAAATATTGGGACGATAAGTGATTGTGACCAGTTAGATGGGATAACGTCTAACTCCCAGATTTTAGCTAAAATATTAGTCAACCTAATCGCTAAAACTAGACCACCATCCTTAAAGACCTCTGGGGCCAATCCGTCTGGACCAGATGCCCTTCCTCGTTTCAGATTGGCTATA